GACTGTAGTAACGATTTTATTACATGTCCTGATTTTCTGGGTCAGGAGTTGGAGCAGGGCTTGCCTGGGTGATTCTTCTGTCCCCTGGGGTCTCAATGGCGCCACTCAGCGGTATGCAGGGGGCGGATGGGCAGGTCTGTGAGGGAGTAGCCAGGAAAGACGGAGGCAGGGGCGGGGGTGGGGAGGGAGCCCAGGGGTGCTGTGGCCCAGGAGTCGGCCCGGTGGGGGGGGCATGCTCTGCTCTTGCACCTGCACACACATGCACGCACACCTGCAGAGTTCGAGGCCCCACAGCTGTACGTGTTCAGGGAGGAGCCCCAGGAGAGGGAGCAGGTAGGAACCTTCTCAATTCTGTGAGGATGATGACATTGTCCTTTGCTGGTTCAGCCTCCCAGCCCACTTCTGAAGGAGGCATCAGCAGGGCCCCAACAACTGTCACACGGCATCATTTAGAGCTTGCATGCTGCGGTGTCTGTCCATCTGTCCTTGCATCCCCTGGTACTCAGCCTGGCATTTGGCCAATTGTTGGTCAGCCCTCCAAAGCAATGGCTGGTTTGTCTGCCCATGGCAGGCAAGGTGGGATGGCATCACGGGCAGAAGCCACGGCGTGAGGAGGGCCTGGCATACCCTGTCCGTGAACTTGCCTCACAAACCCCGTGATCTTGGGTGGGTCCTGGCAGGGAGGCTGTTTCTGCCCCTGGGTTGGTGCCCAAGATCTCCGACCGCTGCATTAAGATCAGACACGACCTTTGCCCCCAGCCTTCTGAGACGTGTTCTGGGACAGATGCTCACCACGCTACGTAGCTCATGGACACCCGGTGCCCTGCACCCATCTGGCCTGAAACGGGCTCTCGGAATTGGCAGCCGCTGGTGGAAAGGTTGTTGTGGAGTGACTTCTCCAGAAGCAGATACTGAGCTGGAGTTCGGGGTGCAGGATGTTTATCAGGGATCAACCCCCACGAAGGGAAGTGGGAGGAAGCAGGATTGAGCAGAAGGAGACTCAACAGCGAAGCAAGCCTGACGAAGCTGCGCCAGCCTGGCAGGGAGTCCCGGAGCAGATGCCGCCTCCCAGACGGCCTCCGTCCCCCGCCTCTCAGGCCCTGGAGGAACTGGCAGCTGGAGATTACGTGCTGACCACATTCCCCGCGAGCTCGTCCTTGAGGGGAAATCCAGCTGGTGCACCTCCATTTGCCCACAGAGATTTCTCACTTAGCCTGCGGTCCCAGGACTGAGTGTGACAAGTGCATCAAAGGTGGAGGGAACTCATAAAGAGTCAAATGGAGAGACACATTTGCGTGTCTTTTGTAGGTTTTTATAATAGAAAAAGCCAAAGAAAGACATGGAATGGGACATTAGCTCTGGGGGGGCATCTGAACCAATAAAACAGAAATGATGAGAGGCACTCCCACTCCCAGGAGGATGCAGGCACAGACCTGAAGTGCAACAGGAGGGGCGGATGGGGTGGGGGAGAAAGAGACTGCCCTGCCGAAGCACCGTGGGCATCTTGGATGTGACAATGACCACACTCTACAGCCCGGTATTCACCGATCGTGTGCAGTAAACGACCTGTCGAATGAAGAGGAAGATTCCTTTTGAGCATCTAAAATGTGTAAGGCAAGGGTGCTGGAGGCCATATTATCTCCCTTGCTTCAAAGTCATGTAGACCCCCTTGACCAGAGTGTAGGAGAAGGAAGAGGTCAGTCCAGCGTGGGACAAAGGTCCTCGCGCACCCGAGCCGGGGTGTAGGGGGAGGATGGGGATGCTTTGCTCATCCCTTGACCTGGACCCCATGGGAAGCTTCAACTTATGAGGCCAAATCAGAATTGGGACACCAAGCCACCATTCAAAACACCGAAGAGCCGTCTGGACTCGGGTGACAGCTTTTCATTTATCGTGGCAGGAAGTCGGTGTCCAAAGGTTTCATGCTTCATGACAGCTTTCACGGGGCCTTGCAGCCCATCGTGGACGCACTACCCATCACCACCGCACCACAGCGGTGACGGCCTCCAGCGAAGGGCCACCAGAGCAATGGAAGGCGCTCACTGGGACTGGTCGCTTCCTTGCGCAGAACCACTTGTAACAACGGCTATGGCCCAAGGGAAGGTATTCTGAGCACACGCCTCTCTCATGGGAGCCAACAGGGAGCGACCCGAGCCCTCGCCAGGCCATGGGAAGGCACTGTGTCCAGTCCCGCTCTAGCCAGCCCTCCCTTGACCACCGGTTCCTCGCAGCCTGCCCTGAACAGGGCAGAACTACTACCCTAAGGACATAACGTGACGTTGCTCAAGGTTGCCAGTCTCTATTTTTTCCAAAGTTCTCCAGCAGCCGCCTTCTGATATACGAACCACACATTTGAGAAATGGCCAGTTGTAAATTTTAACAAGGTTGTTAGTTCCACGCAGTGTATCTACCTCGCGCAAGGCATGATGTGTGCGGTGAGGGTGTTTGGCCCATACAGCAGATCTGGAACACACGCAAAGACGCTTCTTCAGCGGCTCACCCAGAGAGGCTGCCACAGGGAGCTTGTCCTCGGTACTATCTACAAACCAGTCTGTAAGCCATACGAGGCCTCCTCACGCGCCTCAGCCAAGGGCTGTCACCTGACAGAGCCTTGCGTACTGTCCTTCATATCTGAGTCCACATGGCGCTTGGCTTTTCTATATTGCCAAAAGGTTAGCATCTTGAGGGAAAGGGCTACTGTGAACCTGTTATAGCCTTGGTGAGGAGAGAGGGTCTGGCTCATAGTACATACAGAAATGTTTGCCAAGCGAATGAATGTTCCACAGCCCCAGAAGAACGAATCTCCAGCCATTCACTACTTCAAAACAACAACCCCACTGGAATGTCCATGTTGTGATGTGTGGACTTAAACTTAGTTTAAAAAAAAAAAAAAATTTGGTAAAAAAAAAACAAGACGATTTCTTTTTTGATCATGAAAACACACCATCTTTCAAATTCAGTTTCTTGATTTTTCTCATTTATGGAGTTCTCGTCAACCATAATTTGATATGATAACCCTTTTTTAACTTTATTTCAAAAAGTACTCACACGGCGTATTTTCTAGAAATGTCGAGTGAGTCACAGTTCCTCATGGGTTTCCCTGTGTTGGCTCTTCCAGCGTTTTTATCTTTGGATAAATCTGCTACCAAAACCTAGATTCGTCTGAATGTAAAATGGTCCTATTTATGCAATCATTTAAAAACTAAGACAATTTGCCATAAAACATACTTAAAATCTTTACCATGTGGTCCAATGGCAGCCTGTCTAATCCCATGTTGGAGCTGTGTCCCATGTAGGTCTGGGACAGTAGGGACAGTCATGTCCTAAAGGAAGCCCTTGGAACTAGGCATGACCATTGTCAGATGCGACCCGGGTTTGTCATTCTCAGGGCATCGCACACCCCCTTTCGTAAAAATCAGAGGGGAGAAAGGTGGAGTCCCTAGCATTTTTTTTCCAACTAACGTGCGTTGGTGAAAAGTACATGACCTCTCAACTCCTATAAAATCTCCATTCTGGTGTGTCTTAAGTAACTCTACGCCAAGTGTAGACCCAGCAAGCACAATCAGGGCTCACCCCCTTCCCCTCCACCCCTCCCCACGTCCTCAGCTCCACCGGGGTCCCTGTGACACATGGTCTCAGAAGCACAGTATCAGAAGAGCACTGAATGGAAAAGCCAAACTCAGTAGTGTTCTTTCCACCTCACTGCAACCGTGCTTGTTGCTTATTCTCCCGAGTTCCTTAAAAGCCACCTGGGGTCTCCTGGAAACGGTAGCTGAGCGATGGCTCTGTCCATACACTGGCCTCGGGGACGTCACCCCCCCCCGACTGTAAGCAGCGCTTGTTATACTGGGGCCCATGTCGCTTTGCTGGTCCCAGACCGATTGATGCTTATTTACCCCCAGCCGCCTGCACACGGGATGGGTTAGCAAAGCCTTCATATTACTGCCCATTTTGCGCTCCCTTTATTGCTCACGAACATGTACTTTAGAAGTGGACAGGGAGGAGGAGGAGGATGTGGCAGAGTCCGGGGCTTCTGTGCCCCCTTTGGAAGCCATGCTGTTGGGACTGAAACCCCAGTGGTGATTCACAGCTCTCGGAAAGAATCAGATGCCTCCTCGAGAGCAAGTGGCAAAGCCGGGTGGTCTGTGTGCCACTCGAATAGCCCCCCTTGGAAATTCCACTGGACTCATTGGGACAAACCTGGGAAATAAGCTTGACCAGAGGAGAGATAAAAACTGGGCACCCAAAGGGAGGTGGTGGGGGGAGTAAGTGGGGAATGGGCATTAAGGAGGGCACTTGTGATGAGCACTGGGTATTGTAGGCAAGTGATGAATCACTGGATTCTAGCTCTGAAACTAGTAATACACTATATGTTAACTAACTTGAATTATTTTTTTTATTTTTGTTAATATTTATTTATTTATTTGAGAGAGGGGAGCAGAGGGAGAGGGAGCAAGAGAATCTTAAGCGGACTCCGCACTGAGGAGGGAGCCCCATGCAGGGCTCGATCTCACAACCCTGAGATCATGACCTGAGCTGAAATCAAGACTCGGATGCTTAAATGACTGAGCCATCCAGGCGCCCCTAACTAACTTGAATTTAAATAAAATCTCAAAAAATAAACAAACAAATGGGCAGTCAAGATGGTTTTAAGGTATTTTGGAGATTTTATTTCCTTATCTTGGCCTTATTCTTCACACTCTAATAGGGCTATTGGACCTTTAATGGGACACTTCTAAAATACAGAAATGATGAAGAAAGTGACAAGTAATGGGTATTTTACACAGTCATCAAAAAGCACTTTTTCCAATATATAAAATGTTTTCACACGTGAGAGCCAGATAGTTAAAAGACACAAAGCAAAAGTGAATTGTATTACTTTTTTTTCAGCCTCATCTCTCAATTGGAAGCCTTTGAACACGTCAGCACTATATAGTAAGAAAAGGAGAAGCAGCGTGGAGGCAGATATCTTTCCAGCAAGCTCAGAAACAAGAGGCTCAATAAAACCAACCCGCTTTATAGGGAGCAAAGAGGACCATCCCAAAAGCCACTCGGCAGAGTGAGCCCATGACAGAGCTAGGGCCAGTTCTGCCAACTCGGGCTCTCAGGGTCCCTGCACAGTCTGGCCAACCCCTGTGACACGAGTGGACAAGCAGAGTCCTTGGGCAGGTCAACCCTGCATTCAGCTATGGAGTCACAGAAGAACTCCAGAGGTCAGCTGCATTAATGCTTGGGCAAGTGGCAAAAAGCCAGGGTGGTCTGCAAGATCGTCTGTTGGTCCTCCTTTGAAAATTGCGGCCATTGCTGCCAATGACAGTGACAGTCTCATGGGACAGCCAGTCAATTTGGAAAACTCTGGCTTGGAAAGTCTAAATTAAGTAATTGCCCAAATTCATCTTTTTCTGGGTTTTTCTTTTTCCACACTTCCTTTTTCTTCTTCATCATTGGTTTCCCTCCAGTTGCATCCGTGGGGCAGCCGTACCTGGATTTCTCATGACTTCCGAAGAGGGCCATCCATGTTGGAGCAGAGACCCCCTCAGTAGGAGAGAGCCCCCGAGGTTGTCTCCAACAGCATGGATGACAGCTTCACGCTTCCCTCTCTCCTCATGAACGAGACCCACTGCGCCTGGCTGATGCAGCCCAAACTCTTCAGGGTCTTCATAAGATCCCGGCGGAATCTCTCACCCACAAAGACATAGAGGATGGGGTTCAGGCAACTATGGAAGAAGGCGATGGTTTGGGTGACCTGGAAGCAGATGTCAATGTTGGTGGAAATGGCACAGTTGGAAATGAACACGGTGTAGGCATCGATGGTCTGCACCAACAAAATGCAGTTGTAGGGGAACTGAGATAGGACAAAGACCGTAAGGACAGTGATGGTCACCTTCAGGGCCTTGTGCTTGGATGACTTCCTGGCTTGTAACAGAGTGTGAATGATGATGGTGTAGCAGCACGCCATGACCACGAAAGGGAGGAAGAAGCCCAGGACGATCTTCAGGGTCAAGACAGTCGACTTCACTGTGGCACTCTGCTCACTAGGGTAAACCATGGTGCAGATGGTGATGTCAGATTGCTCTTTGAGTTGACTGTACATGATTTCTGGGATGCAGAGTGCGGCCGCCAACACCCAGACAGTGAAGCAGATCATTTTGCTGTACAGGAGTCTTTTCTGCCTCCAGGTCTGCGCTTTCATGGCCTGAGCGATGGCGATGTACCGGTCCACGCTGATGCACATGATCAGCAGCACGCAGCTGTAGAAGTTCATCTTGTACATGCTGTTGACCATGCTGCACAAGAAGGGATGGAATCTCCACTGGTCAGCGGCGGCAATGGCCCAGAAGGGGAGGGTAATGAGAAAGAGAAGGTCGGCAATTGCCAAATTCAAGAGGAACATGTCGGTCATGGTCTTGACTCGTGTGCAGTACCAGTAGACAAGGATGACCAGACTGTTGCCCACAGCGCCCACGATGAACACGAGCCAGTACAAGGGTGGGAGGAAGTGGCTCGCAAACTGCCTGACATTGTTTTTCTTACAGAATAAATCTGGAAAGTTGTAGTTCACGTAGTCATCCATGGAAGACGTGGAGTGGTAGCTGTAGTCATCGGATATGTTAGAGATGGGGTTCTGCAAGGAGATACCAGACACCGTTAGGTCAAGGACAATCCTTTGGAGGACTGCAGGATGGCAGAGGTGTGGACCACATGACCCTCCCCATCCCAAAAGTCTATGACAAGACAGAGACATGTATGCATGGAAAGTAGGCATGTCTTTTTTTTTTTTTTAAGATTTTATTTATTTATTTGAGAGAGAGAGTGAGACAGAGCAAGAGGGGAAAGGGTCAGAGGGAGAAGCAGACCCCCCAGCCGAGCAGGGGACTGCTCACGACCTGAGCCGAAGGCAGTCGCCCAACCAACTGAGCCACCCAGGTGCCCCGAAAGTAGGCATTTCTGAGAGCGTCTGCTTGGATCACCTGGCAGATTTATATGTTCAACGAATGTTTATCGCACACCGAGGCTACGTCAGGTACTGTATGCATGCTAAAAATGCAGTAGCGGCTAAGTCAGACAGGGTTCCCCGCTCTTGTGGAACCCATCTCCTAGTGGAGGGCACACACAGGCAAACCAACAGTGACAGGACATGTGACAAGTGCTCAGACAGGGTATGACCCCTTTGGGACCAATGATGGGCACAAAACTTTTATCAAACTCTGAATGATTCTGATTTCTCCTCTCTATTCCATACTCCCAAAAGGTTCTTTAGAGGCTCCTTAACTTTTCCGGGTCCAGATTCCTCTGAGTCTTCTGAAAGCCATGGATCCTCTGCTCATGAAACACCAACACACACACACACACACACACACACATTCATGCCCTCTCCCGTGCATGCACATACACAAACACTGGGACAGGCGACATAATTTTCAGGATCCCTTGTTCAAAATTTGTTAAGAATTTCAAGACAGCAGAGCATTAAATCAAGCAGGTGGCACTTTTAGGTACGGGCCCTGTGCAGCTGTATAAGTTGAACACCCATAGACCATTCTGTGGTTTCTCTAAAGGCTCTGTCCTGTTATGCAAGAAGCCCAACCAATGGGCTCACCAGGGTTTGTTTTTTTTTAAAACCACATTATGGATTGTCCCTCACCCTTGTTTGTCTTGATTTCAGAACAGACACAAAGGGGGCACCTGGGTGGCTCAGTCGTTAAGCGTCTGCCTTCAGCTCGGGTCATGATCCCAGGGTCCTGGGATCGAGCCCTGTGTCGGGCTCCCTGCTCCGTGGGAAGCCTGCTTCTCCCTCTCCCACTCCCCCTGCTTGTGTTCCCTCTCTAGCTGTGTCTCTTCTGTCAAATAAATAAATAAAATCTTAAAAAAAAAAAAAGAACAGACACACAGAACCAAGCTCATCTAGTTAAAAATCATAAACACGCTTACCTGTTAATAAAACCTCAAATAGCATTTTCCTCTCACTTCACCACATACCCCAAAGTTCTTCTGGCTTTGTGTGTTTGCAAAGACCTCTGTGCCAGGGCCAGTGGCCCCTCTGGGGCACAGCTCAGCCGAGATCTTGCCCCAGGGAGACGGCACAGAGAAATCCCTCCCCACCGCGGGTTCCTTCCCACACTCCCCAAAACAGGCAAGACGACGGTGCGTTTGGAGGAGACTGAGGAGCATGGCTAGACTCACTGTGAATTCTGTGGCCATCATGATGGATCAGAGATGCAAGCTCGCTTCTAGAAAGAGAGGACAAAAATCAAAAGGAGGTCTGTCTTACAAAAGAACAGTAATAAACACCTAAAGGTGGAAATTGAATGTTAAATTCATTTGTTCTTATGAAAAGAAAGAATCCCAAGCAAAAGTTAGAGTCCACAGGACACTGATGTCAAGCTGAATATTCTAGATTTCAAAATGATCTTGGTCATTAACAGAGGAATGAGAGAAACCTCTCCTCTGAGAGCCCTTCGGGACCTTAATGTTTTCCCAGCACGTACTTTTTACATTAGCTCGTTCTCTCTTGACTCAACTTCTCAATCAGAGCTGTTTTGCTAAATGCCCCCACCTTTCATTATCAACCAGGGGGCTCCTGAAGATCATAGGACAGAGGTTGACTTGAGAACCCTCTGGGCCCAGACTCCGCAGGGTAACCAGGTGGCAAGGACATGGGGGGACAAGGGCTGGGTCCCTCTCCCAGAGGGGTTCAGAGCCCCAGCGCCTACCTACATGCTCCATTTACAAGCCCAGGATAGGAAACTGGGCCCTATTTTCTCTGTCCCCTGACTCCAGCAGGAAAAGGAGGTCCCAGGATTTGTTAAGCAAAGAAGATGACGTTAGTTCCCTAACACAAAGAGCCTCCAACCTGACTTAAATAAATCTTGGCTATTGTTCGTATGTGCTTTGAATCTCTGTAAACCCACCCCGACATGACTCAGAGAAAAACGGCTTGCCTCTCTTCAAGGAAGGGTCTCTGCCTGAGCTGGCCATTTTTTTTTTATACTTTTAGCCAGCATATTCCAAAGAACCATGTTCAGCACCACGCCCTAAATTTCTAGAAGAAAACAATTCCCCTACATAGATCCAACCTTAACCTTTTGGTTTCCTTTCCATAATACAGCATCGTGACTCAACCTCCTTTTCTGAAAGTACGGTGGTTTTCAGTACCTGATGTGTGGTACAACTACTTTGGAAAACGGTTTGTCGGGCTCTGAAAAAGTTAAACATACACTCAGCCTGTGATCTAACCATCCTGCTCCCATGTACTTACCTAACAAAAACACAAGCATGTGTCCATACAAAGACTGATATACGAATGTTCACAGCAGCTTTATTTATAGTAGGAGTTACTGGAAACAACCCAAATGTCTGTCAAGTCTCGGGAAGGGATAAGCGAACCGTGGCGTGGCCACACAATGGAATCAGAATGAGCAACAGATACGCACAGAGCCACGCGGATGACTCTCAAAATAATTATGCTAAGTAAAGAAGCCAGACCAAAGCAGCACATACTGTGTGATTCTACTTACATAAAAATTCTAGAAAATGCAAACTAATCTATTGTGAGAGAACGCAGACCGGTGATTTCCTGGTAAGAGAGGGAAAGAGGCAGGGGAGGGTGTGCTGAGGGGGAGGGGGGAGAGGGAGGGGCAGAGGCACACCAGGAAGCCTGGGGGGTGGGGGTGAAGAATATGCTGGCTCCACTGATCCTATGAAGGTTTCATGGGCATATACGTATGTCAGAACTGACATTCTGCACTTTAAATATGTGCAGTTTCTTTGTAGTTGGACCCCAATAAAGTGGTTCAACTGAAGAAAGGAAAAACAGTGAAATCTCGTGAAAACTTTCTGGTTTTCTTCCTTCCTCAGAGTCCTCTCTGGCCTCCAGCAGGCGAGGAAAAAGGTGGCCAGAACTTGTTCCTTGCGACCTTCTTGCCAGCAACTTCTCAAAAATGCCTTGGGAGTGCCTTGTGCTGGTTATTGGAATTGAGGGCTCAAGATGAACTCGTGTTTTTATTTTTTTATTTTTTGAAGATTTTTTAAATTTATTTTGAGAGAAAGAGCGTGAGAGAGAGAGAGAGCATGAGCAGAGGGGAGGGGCAGAGGGAGAGGGAGACGCAGGCTCCCCGCCGAGCGGGGAACCCAATGCGGGGCTCCATCCCAGGACCCCAGGATCATGACCTGAGCCGGAAGGCAGACACTTAACGACTGAGCCACCCAGGCGCCCCTGGACTCATGTTTTGTTTTTTTTTTTAAAGATTTTATTTATTTGACAGAGAGAGAGATAGCAAGAGCAGGAACACAAGCAAGGGGAGTGGGAGAGGGGGAAGCAGGCTTCCTGCAGAGCAGGGAGCCCGATACAGGGCTCGATCCCAGGACCCTGGGATCATGACCTGAGCCAAAGGCAGATGCTTAACAACTGAGCCACCCAGGTGCCCCTGGACTCATGTTTTTAAAGCTTAGATAGATAGATAGATAGATAGATAGATAGATAGATAGATAGATAGATAGACAGACAGATGATTTGTGTGTATATGTACATGTATTGTCTCCTGAAAGGACCCAGAAGAAATGACACAACAGAATAAGCATCCAGTGCCCAGATCTTAGTTTCTAAATACCTTCCTCTACCAAAAGGAAGCAGGACTCTAGAGAAATGTCTGACTCCGGAGCTGGGGCAGAGACACTAAGATGAACCTGGAACTGACTGTTTTTTTGTTTGTTTTTTGTTTTTGCATCAGGAAGCAAGTGTTTGAAGGACCATGAGGACTCGTCAAAAGGACATAGGTGCCAACCTGCTGGGGCTCCCACTAGCCAAATCGGAGGTGATTTGGGCACCAAATTAAGTAATGGTGGCAATCATTCTAGCACATCCAATTACGTGAGGCTCCAGGAATTCATACTGATGCAAATAAATGAGAAAATAAATGAAGAGGCGAGAAAGCTCTTCTTATGGTGCCAGCTACTAGCTACAGAAGGAATCCTGAGATTGGAAACTCACCAATGGATGCTGAAATTAGTGGTGGATGTTTGGGAGCAGGGATGTTGGCCTCATCTCAGAGATTCGCCCCGCCGCCAAATTCCATATCATCCCATTGACTTTACCGTCCTCTATTTTGTTTCTGAAACATGCTCTTAAAAAATAAATTCTTTTTTCAGGGCGCCTGGGTGGCTCAGTCATTAAGCGTCTGCCTTTGGCTCAGGTCATGATCCTAGGGTGCTGGGATCGAGTCCCACATTGGGCTCCCTGCTCGGCGGGAAGCCTGCTTCTCCCTCTCCCACTCCCCGTGCTGTGTTCCTGCTCTCGCTATCTCTCTCTCTCTGTCAAATAAATAAAATCTTTTAAAAAAATCTTTAAAAAAAAAAAAAATGCCCAGTTAAACGTGGAAATTCCCAAAGCAGCTCGTGTAATTCTATGACAGCTTGGGGAACAGGGAGATAGGTTTTTGAGACATTAGCCAGAAAACACTTCATATATTTCTAGTACCTGGGGCTTCCTTTCTACCTGCATAAAAAGCCTGAATATGAAGAGATAATATCGAAGAAAACAAACTCCCAAGGGAAAAAAGTCACATAAAGAAGAAAGAATGGCTTTGGTATGGTTAGTTATAGCTAGTTAGTGGGGAGTGGAAATTGCGTGTCCCCACACTCTCCAGCCTTTAAGAGTCAGCAAAAAAAAAAAAAAAAGTCACCTCCTCAGTGAAGCCCTTTGGGGTTTCCCCAGTGCTGGAGACAGGATGGTTAATATTTGCACCCCTCCTGCCCTCTTGCCCTTGCCCTGTGCAAACTTTTCAGAGGATGAAGCTATCTGTCAAAATTTACAAAGCACAACAGCTCTGACTCAGCGCTTGATCTGCTGGAAACATGCCCTATTGTTATTCTCACAAAAGAACATAAAGACACACCTTGGGAGATGCATGTGGCAGTATTATTTTGCAGAACAAAAAAACTAGAAAGAACCTAAATACCCAGCAATTGGTGATATTTTGATACATCCTTCAATAACACACAAGTAGTCCATAAAGAGAATAAATTAGACCTCACACTGATACAAGGAGGTCACCAAGAGCATCAGGTAGAAACGCAAGGTAGAAGACTATGTTGCATGATCTTTAAAAAAAAAGTATGTAAAAGTTACACACTTCACTGCTCATCAGTACTGAAACATTTTCTGGAAGGAGACTGAACAATTATGGCCAGTGGAAAGTGAGACTTTCATTTTTTTCCTTTAGGTTTTGTAAACCATTTAAATATTTTACTTTGTGCATGAAATTTTATTTTAAGAACTATCGTAAAATTAACTTGTCGCCTTTTTTTTTTTAAAGAAGCCCCAGGGTGCTTCCATTCCCTACACCATACACCTGTTTGCAAAGCTCGTCCCCAGAAGGTACTCACAGCCTGCTCCAGGTGGCCTGAAAGGTAGCCAGGACTGGTAATTAAATTCTCTGTGGCTACTTTTTGCGACTTTGAGATCCTACATTAGCTTTTTGTGAAGCTTGTCTTGTTGCTGTTATAAATGTGTGTCTGGCTCATGGAAAATTTAGAGAGAGTCAAAGAGTAAAATCAAAACCTATTCCTCCCTAGACCCACCATCAAAAGACACTGCCGAAGTCCCTCCATCTAGTTCCCCTCCTCCATCAGAATACTCTTGGGAGATTTTATTGCACCCATTGCAAAGTCTCCAAGCTCGCTTTCATTTTCTTCTCGCCCCTGAGAAGGAGGCAAACACCCACACATAACAAAGCATACGGAAAGCAGGCCCCTCTCGGGTCTGCTGGGAGTGCTCCAGTGCCTGGCTCAGCACCGCACCAATCTCTTCTCGCCCTTGGAAGGGTGGCCTCTTTATGGGGCTGCAACTGCTCAAGTCTGAAAAGCCTGCCCATGTCCCGCAGCATAACGGATGTGGTGAGGGGAAGCACGACAGACCCCCAGCTGTCCCTGGGTCCATCCCTTTCTGCCTGTGGGACCTTAGCAAGAAGCGACATGCCCTCAGCGAGCCTAGATTTCCTTGGCTTGCAAGGGCTTGTGGCAAGGGTCAAGTGCAATGCTCTTTGCAGAATGCAAAGGGCTGTGTGAGAAGGAGGGAACATTCTTCATCCCCCAGCTACTCCTTCAGTGTGTCTTGACACCAGATACACCTGCTCGGCTTAAACACGGTATGAGACATGATCCATGTCCTCAAGAAGCTCACATTCAAGTACAATGGATACGTCATT